CTGTCGAAAATGTATTGTCCGTCTGCATAGCAGGTCCCTGGTGGAATCCTGGGGTCCCAACGGAAGAAGAAGGCACGGATCCGTCCCATGCCAGCAACGAAGTACTTTGGGCGCCAGTATGCAGCTCCTCTCTGCTACCGGAAACATGCTGCCACGGTTGACTGTCCCCCCAGTGCATCTGTTGTGGCATTTCAGAAGGTTGCAAGGATCGGGCGTAATCCTGCTCCAGTTCTAAGCACAGCTCCACTATTGCGTCGATCTCAGGGTCATCTTCTGATCCACCCTCCTTTCCAGATAACTGTCGTCCCCCACCCGCCCTGACCCTCGACATGTGCGGGAATCTTGCACATTTTGTCAAGATAAGGAGAACTGCTGAGACAGACAGTATTGTAGCCCACACAAGATATGGAGTCAAAGTAGGTGACCGCCCACGTGTCCTAAATGTTCCGGGCCTCAAGACCCTACTTCTGTTATTCTGTCCTTCAACGGAAGTTCCATTGGTGTCCTGCAATTTGGACAACGCCGTCGGCACATTCTGTAGTAGTGCGTGTGCCCTACACATTCTGTGTGGCTAGGGAACCTTGCTTGTGTTGGTGTTGTTGTAGTGCCAGGCTGCCGGGCTCTATGGGCCGATGATGGTTCCTGCAAGCGGGGGGGAAAATTGGGGATAGAGAATACCAACTTGGATGACTGCGCTATTTTGAGTTGGGTTAGCGGGTACTCCATCGCGTGGGCGATACGCGAATCGGAGTTCAAGGGCCTGTACTCCCAGTCTTTTACTGTTTTCCAGCGATATCTGATATTGTTTATTTATAAAAAGAGCAGTATTCAAATAATTCACTCCTCAGTTTTCCGAAACTCGAAGTGCTAAGCCGATTGGCTCGGCCCTGTGTCCAGCGACCAGGAGACGGCCGGTCACCAGGTCGGTTGCCGGTGGATCGCAATAGTCCATGGTTGAAATAACGAAGCCCCTTCCTACACATAAAAAAAGCGCCGCACTATTATTTCTAATGCGGCATCCAGAGCTTTTTGGAGAGCTGATTTGCAGTGTTTTCAATGCGGGAGGGCACGATATTGGGCTGGAGACTCCTGCACAGATGGGCTGACGCATGGAAGCAAGAAATGCTGTCCCTTATGTTCCGCTTTAGTATATTGCACCAGGAGGCAGCGCACATGGAAGCAAGAAGTGTAATCCTCTATACTACACTTTAACCATATATTGAGCATTTATCCCCTCCATTGCTGAGATG